AGAGAGAGGTTCTTACCTTTTAACATGGAGATCCAATGTTTTGATTACTCTGATGTTTTTTTGGAGACATGGGAAGCTGGTCTGCTTAAAACTGATTCTTGGATTCGAGATATGAGTTTGCTGAATCCTAGGAAAAGTCGAATTCCCGACGATACTTACAGAAGAAGCAGCTATTGCCATATATAAGTGCTTTTAATTTATTAGTAATTTTTTTCTGGAAATAAGTTTGTGATTTGGAGTTAAATTCTGATTAACAATGTGGGCAAGCTCTAAATTTATAAAGACTATCATGGTTTGAGTAGTTGATAATTAATTCCCACTTGGATATTTTACTTTTCTTCACCTAATTCTATAATTAAGATTGACATATTCATATTTGAATAAAGATATTCTTCTTCTTAAGTCTCTTGACTAATAGACGTTTAATTCAAAGAAATTTCGATTTTTGATCAAAGAATGAAGAATGGAATGGTATTGGAAGATTCTCAAAAAAAGTCTTGATTCACTTGTGTGTAAATAATTGATGTATTCGAATACTCTGACGCAGTCAACTACGCTAAAATTGGACGAATAATAAATTTTTTTCTCAATGTAGAAACGAGCATTTGATGCAAAACTCATGGACTAAAACCCTTGAGCTGCTATTTTTTTAGTCAAATTCTTCCGTCGCCAAACGAACACTTTTTTTTATTTGATGGAAATTAGGGTTTTTTTTTTTTTTTTTTTTTTTGGGGTGTGTGAACATTACAAGGTGGATATATTTTACTTATGAGCTTTCTTGAAGTTTTTGTTTATCTAGAAAGATTAAGGTAAGACTTGTTTCCTTTAAAAAGCAAGAATTAGGATTTGCTATTATTTTGATAGATTAATAATTTTCTCCTAATTGATTAATCCATCTCGATACTGTTGCACAGATTGAATTTGGGTTTTATATTTTTCACACTTCTCGAATATTAGATGTTATAATTTTTGGAATAATATTTTTTATTTTTGGAGAATGCGTGATTGAAAAAGAAAGAATTTTTTTATTATTATTTATGTATGATATCATTTTATTGAAGAATGCGTGATTAAAGATGAGAGAGAGAAAATGTATTACAAATTTAATGGGGCTCCAACGGGGGCTTAGTTTCATTCCAGGATCCCCAATTTTCATAAGTTTCGTTTTCAATTGATAAAATGAAATTATCTGTTTCCACAACTTCATTATAGGTTATATTTCTGAAATAATTGTAGTGTATTTATCAAAATGTTAATTAATGTGATGGAGCAAATAAAAAGGCAATAAAGTCTTTGTTTGGTAGAGATTAAGATCTAATTTTTAATAAAATTTAATAAAAAAAAAGATGAAATATGTCGTGAAAAAAACTGTGAATTTTATAAAATATGTGATTGTTGACTTTAATTTAGCAGTAAATCACTTTGTTTCCAGAATTTCTTAAAAAGATGTTTTTTTATATTGATAAATATGTTAAAAAATAAATAAAATTCTATACGAAATAAGAATTACTCACTAGGAAATGTTAAGGGTACATAAAGTGTACACCCTCTCACGTGGGTAGGGTCAACTTGAATAAAATATTCGAGCAGGATCTGTAACATGTAAGAGAGTAGATACTCTTATGTACAAAAAATTATGTACAAGTATCTTTATCCTTATTTAAAATTGTATTTGTAGCAGTCTAATGAGGTAGGCCTGACTCACTCTTAATTAACAAATCAATGCGACAATGCCGTGTGGAAATTAAAATAATTACAGATGTTGAAAGCAAGATGCGTCACACCCTTACCAAGAAGGCAAGGTGGTGTTTAATTTAAGGAAAAATTGCAGCAGAAGCTCCAAATCTTTGAAATATTAGCAGACTTTTTTCAAACCTTTCATTTGTTGTTGCCGTCACTCCTAACATTTCCAAACGTTGCACGTGAGGCCCCTTTGGATGGTTTCCGTCAAAAAATCCATCAGTTGCCCAACCCACTCCACTTAGCCACCCCATTCCACCACCACTGTCGTCAACGCTGTTCCTACCACCAAAATCACAACCACGATCTCAAATCCACACCCACCACCACCACCTCCTTCATCTCAAATTCACCTCCACCGCCCGAGATACTTTAAAATCAAATTTATATACTATGACCACCACATCAAATTCACAACCATCATCTAAATTCCACCACCACAATCAACACCTCAAATCCACTACCACCTAAAATATTCCAAAGTCAAATTTATATATTTCAACCTCTAAATGCTGAAGTCAAAACATGGTAGGCTTTGGTGAAGAAGCAGGAGGTCAAAACGAAGATGCTACAGGTACAACTGCAGTAGGCTATGAAGGGATTGAGGTCAGATCTATGTCGCCGTCGAGAGAGATTGCCTGAGGGATTGGATTTGAATAGAGTAGAGAGAGAAATGGCATTTCTGTTTCTTCAAAGAGCATAAAAAGAGAAACGACGCTTTCATTTTCCAAAGAGAGAGAATAGAATGATTAGAGGAAGATGGATTTCAATAACATTGAGCTGTATAATTACTAGTTTAGATTGAGGGGGTGGGGAAGAAGATCCATTTTTCTTCTCTCTCTCTCTCTTTTTTGGGCTTTTGATTTAAGTTTTTTTAATTGTTTAATGTGGGAAATAGAAAGATACCATTTTACCCTTGTAAAATTGATTAAAGTGGTCTCATGTGCAACGTTCGAAAATGTTAGGGGTGATAGCTGCAACAAATGAAAGATTTGAGAAAAATCTGCTAATATTTCAAAGGTTTGAGGCTTTTGCTGCAATTTTTCCTTAATTTAATGTTAAAAAAATCAATTTACTATCATGCGCATAATTCGTAGACTTAAAATTTAGATTTTAATTAAAATTAAAGTCAATAATTAATTTTAATAACATATTTCATGAGATTCATAATTTATAAATCACACATTTCATCAACTTTTTATCCAATCTAATAAAAATTTAAATTTTAATCATCATCAAAAGGTTCGATATATGGAGTTATGTTCATTTGATACATTAATATGATGGTTTTTTATTGCTTTATACATTAAATAACAATCTTTTATGTGTATGTTACGTAAGCTGACGACAGGTAGTCTTCACTATTAATAACATTATTTAGCATTATTCAATAAATAATAATGCTCATTGGCCGGGGTCAATAAAAGAAGGTGAGGTGACAAGGTGTTGTAGTAGGCGGGATTGAGTGTATTTTTTTTTTTTTATAACTGTCCAATGATGTATTAACACGTGTCATTTCTTTCATTAAATTTGTCATTATAACAAGATTGGATTAAATTTGTGTTTTTATTTCTCATGCTTTGCAAAATTAAATAATTAATTATTCAATCTTACTTTTTTCCCGTGATCCACCATTTCATAAGCTTGGATTTCGATTGACTATATAAAATATTTTTCCACATCTTGAGGATTTGCCCAATGCTTTTACCAAATGCCCTGTCCCCATGTGGTTTGGCAGCATAACAATGAAATATTCTGTCCAATTAAAATCGGTCTCAATAAAAAATTCAAAGATCTATTGTTTCTAACAACTCTGGTTTTGTCTTATGTAAATGAAATACCTTTATTTATTTTATTTTTTTTTTGGTCTTATGTAAATGTATATGCATGAAAGGAGAAAAATCCCAAAAGCACTGCATTACGGTAATAACATTATAGATTATTATTTCTATAATCAAGACCAAGAATTCGAGGATTGATACCACTCAACCATCCACTCCCCACTCAAAGAACAAGCTAATGCTCCTTTTGTGCTTGAATTCATTACCTGTCACAGAAGATTTAGCGATCATGTATTGAGATTATTCAAAGAATTTAACATTTGTTGTTGATGTCAATATCCGATCAATCCGACCCCGGAGAGCTGCTTTTGCTAAAACTCGAGAGGTTCTTGGGTTATTTTTAGAGCCCGTCTTAGTTAATCGAAAGTAGAATTCATCCTGTGTTTTTTCATTTCCATTCACTCGAATTTTTTCCATTCCATCGACTTTGATATGATCGGCGGACGTGGAACTCCAAAAACCACATTCCAAAATACTTATTTCACTGTCTTAAAAATATATTACCAATATTTTATTTTTATTTTTTATAAAAACAAAGGAAAAATGAGAAGCAAGAAGTTCAAGTAACATGATAATTTGGTGAGAAGCACGTAAAAAGTAAAAACATGCAAGGCATGCTTGTTACGCTATGTTGGACAATACCCTTCTGCCCATGACGGTCTCATGACCATGCAGACACATGCTTGGTCGTCCTAACAGACATAGTGAAAGCTAAACAAATGCTCGCCAAGGACCCGCTAGGGAACGGCCGACCTCAACTACAGTGACATTATACTTGAAACAACATACCAGGCATTTGCCACAGGAAACCTTAACAGAAATCTTCCACCAGCAACTCCTAATTAGTTTCATGTACATGTAAAGCTTGGAAAACCTCACGATAAACAACGGTTTTTGTTCAAGCAATGACAGTGACAACAAATTAAGCCTTGTTCCCAAAATACATTTGGGTTGGCTGTATCAGTTCAATTATTATCTAAAGTAACAACCTATGTAGAAATTACAACAGGTGTAGCCATCTAAGCCATCTCCTTCTCTTATTTTACTTCAATGTGTATATTTCTCATTTCTTGCGTTATCTAGCTTTAGTATGACCACACATCCCTCTTAGAGCCTATTTCCGTTACATTCATTTTATGAATGTTTCGTTATTTGACAGCCCAACACTTAGAACCACAAAGGATAATAGTTTTAATCACGACTATAAAGAACTGACCTTTCAACCTTTCAGGAATCTTTCTATCACACAGCATCATGTAACACTTCTCCAATTCATTCAATCCATTCCAATTTAGTGCATTACATCCTCTTCAGTTCCTCTTACTTTGTTAATAATGGAACCTCACTACCTAAATCAGTCAATTAAACAAGAAGTTCCTCTATATATCCTTATTCCTATGATTAGAAAAGTGGAATTTTATGTATTCTGTCCTACTAAACCTACCATCAGGAGCTATCCTATTTGCTTTAATAAACATGTAAAGCTGGCAAAAAATCAAGAGAAGTATCAGTTTTGCGGTGACAAAACAAATAAAAGGAAGTGAAACACTAGGTAAAGAGCATTATCATTGAAAAAGATATTGAAAGAGTTCGAGTGTCCTCCTGAAACATAACAATAAATAAGACGTTGATAACTTTGACGATTGGTGTGAACTTAATATAACTTAAGAACTTCATATGCACTAAAACTTATAAAGTAAACAAAAAGGAGTTTAAATATTTAAAATATTTCACTTATGGAAGTATCGATCCTAGCCGTAGTTACAGCTCTGACATTCTTACACAAGATTGAACCTTCATATGCACTAAAACATATACAAAAATGAGTTTAAATAGTTAGGCTATTTCACTTACGAAAGTATCGATCCTAGCTGTAGTGACAATTCTGACATTCTTACACAAGACAGAAGACATGCATAAGTTATTATAAGCACATTTGATATACACAAAGCAAAGTAGACAAGGTTCTTATTCTTATTTGTTTCTTTATTTGGTGGAAGGAGATAGAAATGAGTTTCTTTTTGGTTAATGTAGAACTTCTTGTTATCGCATCAATACATTTCATGTGTAGAGTGAGCATGCAAACAGTTAAGACCTTAGTGGATTTATCATATGTAAAACATTTTGAACAATCTGAGTCACATAAGCGTTTAGAAATTAAGAATGTAACTAAATTGCCTATTATGAATAACCTCAAAAGAAGAAGCATCTACAACGTGAAGAAAGAGAATCGGAGTTGAATCGAACCTCCGGTAATTACTTCTGTATAAAAAACAAGAAATCCTATCTCAATCACGGATGCCAAATTCGACTTTGAGCTCATCATCTTCTTCAAAAAGTTTTAGAAGACGTGAGTGTTGCTCCTCTCTCTTCTTCCTTTGCCACAGTCTGACCAAGAAAACAGAAAATGCAACTGCAGCCAACAGCCCAAGGCATATAAGAACTAATTCCAATCCCACAGATCTACTAGATGACCTCTTACTCACAGTTTCCGTTTCATTCTTGGAAATTGATGTTGATGTACTGTTTGCCAGTCCTACAAAGACATCGTGAACATTCAGTTCTTGTGCTGGAGTGAATTTTTTTTGGAGGATGTGTGGTTGAAATTTTGTGGTGCTGGTTTGAGATTTTACAAAAATCTTTTCGGACAAACGCTAATTTGATCCTCTTCCCCAGGGATCTCAGATGAGGGACCCCGGCTGTTCTGAATAGAACGGCAAAAAAAGAAAATAATGCTTCCAGTTGAATGGGAAATTAATAAGATAAAACTTGTGTTGAAAAGATTCTTTATAGAAAACTGGGTTGAAACTGTAACAAATATCCATTTCCTTTCCCTTGCAAAGTATTCTCCGGTAGTTAACATTGACCATAAAGAAAATCCATGATTCCACATTGGATTAGTTCAGCTATAAAGCTTAAATTTTATCGGTCATTAGTAGTTTCTTTAAGAGGGATGGTATTTGTAATACAAAAGAACAAAAAAAAATTTGGGATTCAAGGTAGAGATAAGTCGAGAAGGTCTGAACAATCTAAATTCGATGACAAGTACGTTTCTTCTAAGAACAGCTCAAACTTTGATACATTACTCTATTACAATTCACTCGTTACCGTAATATCCCAGAAAATATTAAATCAACATCAATCTAAATAATGAAAATATCAAGCAAATAATAAAAAAGAACAACATCAATCAAAGTGATACCAATAATGTCAGTAATACTAACCAAAACAAAAGCTAATAATGTTGAAAATACGAAAAATAATCAGGAAAAAAAATAGGGATTTTTAAATTTGAAAGACATTACTCCTAATCTGTCAATATTTTATGAAAATCGAATTAAAAGATCTTTTACTTGAAAGAAGAGCCAATTGTACGTTCAAATAATGGAAACAATGGAATGCAGCAGAGATATCTGTACTGTATACCCATAAATATTCTAAGATTTCTATTAAAAAAACAAAAAATCAACTAGATTAACTGAAGCAGCTTTCCAAATTTTAAAACAAAACATAAAAATGATTATAAATATCTAACTAATACAAAAAATTAGGAAAATCGATATATCTACCTAGATTTCAATTAATGGTGATACAACTTGACAGTGATACAAATAAAAATTTCGAACTTCAGATATAATAGAACAAAAAATCCCTATTATTCAGCAAAATTACTTGTAATTAATTACACAAACTTACTTTAATTGGAAAGAAGGAAAACCTGGAATTGATCGGAGAAGCAACAACAAGAAATAGAAAATTAAAAACTGCAGGGGTCTCCCGATTGAGATTTTGCTGCTCATCAGTCATTTCCCTTTTTTTCTGAATTACTTTCCTGGAATCAAAATCAGTGGCATGAAGTAGAATCGTATTCTTTATCGGCTACTCATATCGGTGTCGGCCGGAGAATTTGGGAAGTGGTGCAACAGTGATGCTATCAACAATCGTCCGCCAATAATAAGTACTTATGCGAAAATAAGTGGATTTTAAAATAAAGAGTTCTTTCAACCAAATGGATCATTGCATTATTGCATAAAATGTCTATAATTTTTACTCATTATTGAACTTATGTTCCCTTCTCTTTGTCCCTCTTTGGTTTAGCTAAAAATCAAAAATTTTAGTAAATTTTAATAAAAAGTTGATTAATGTGTAGTTAAAAGGTTAATGAAAACTATGAATTACATGAAATATATATTTAAAAAAAAGTTTGAGAAAAAAATGAGTATTCAGAAAACGAGAACCAAACATATAGGGCCCGTTTGGTAGGGATTTTGAGAATTGATTTTTTGACCGTTGAAGAAAAGTGGGGTCCACATGTGACAAAAGAAGTCAAAAATTACGGCTTGAATAGTAAAATAACGGTCAAAAAATCAATTTTTTGGGGCAAAAAATCCCTACCAAACGGGGCCATATATATGTTTCATAAACTTTTTGTTAATTATTTGTGTTTCATTACTTGTTAGAAAATAAGCAGATTTTAAAATAAAACATATCTTTTAAGGTAAAAATGGAATATTGTATTCTAAATTTAAGATTGTCACCACGCTATTGACACTACATGCTTTCGTAAGTGTACTATACTTTAACTGCATGAAAGTTACATAATATTTACTCGTTATCATTCCTAAGTCTCCAAATTTTTCATGTAGATTCTATACCTTGATAATGGGGGTTGTGTAAGTGAGTGTGTGTAAAACCTTGTCAAGAGAGAGTAAAAGAAACGTATTTGTCCCTCGAATTTTTGAATAAGTAAAGAATAAAAAAAAGAAAATTTGCGCTAAATATTTTCGCCCATGACAAAGCATGAGAATTTTTTTGGATGAAATTTGTTATCAAGTGCTTGGTAGGGATTTTGTTAATTGATTTTTTGACTGTTAGAGATAAAGAGGGTCCCATCTATGAGAGAAGAATTCAAAAATGACAGTTAAAATAATAAAATGACGGTTAAAAAACTGATGTTAATTGGATTAAATAAAAGATTTGCTACTAACGAAAAAATTGAAGGATAAGATTGTGATGAAAAAATGTTAGGTACGTAAATACGATAATAATTAAAAGATCGAGGGCCTTTAATGTAATTAAAATGTGTGCATTTATGAAAAAATCTTTGTTACAAACCATGCATTAAATATAATTACCAAAGTAGAAGATAGAATTACAAGACACTGACAAGAGAGCCCCATGAGGAATGGAGCAAAAATTATACTTGGGACTCTCGACAACCCGAAAGCAATCACCCTAAGTATTCTACCTAAAGACCATATGATTTTAGTTAAACACAAATTTTAAAAGAATATTAAAACGTTCAAAAGAATTTGACGAACATAAATATGAGTGGATGAATTAAGAACGATATATATTTATTTAATTTTATATATGTCTATTTAGGTAAATTTACATAAGATAAAAATATAATATGATTATCTTTTTAAAAATGAATGTATATATAAAAATTATGAATGTAAATAGCGTCACCATTTTTTCAATTTACCCTAAAGCAAGCAAAATGAGATAGCGGAATAATTTATTTTGAAGTATATTGGTGATAATAATAATAATAATAAATATCAATAAATTGGAATATTTTCCTGTTTTAAAAATATTTTAAAATTATACTCGTATCTGACAATGACCACTTGGTTCAAGCCAAATGCCTGTTGGCTCATCCAATCTCTCCATGAGTGGGTGCTCTTGACCCAAGTATTACCAAATTGAAAGGCGGAGGAGCTAAGTGCTCCTTTTAAAAATGTAGGACTAAATTGAATATAATTTTAAAAGATTAGGGACTTATACTGCTAATTTTCCTATACACGCAACTCTATAGCTACCACATCTTTAAAAGAAACCCTAATCCTTTTTCTGCAGTATACTCTTCAAACGCTCTGCCTTCCCGCACGCAGCTTCTTTAACTCTTTTCAGGTAATCAGTTTTTCTAGCAAATTCTTTCTGATCTATTGCTTATTTCTCTATACTGGTAATTTCAAGCGCTGATTGGGTTAGTGTTTTCGTTATTGTCATTACATTTTCGGATTCAGAAACTTTTTGTTTAATTGTTGATTTCCAGGTACATTTGGCGATAGAGAGTGAGAAGTTTGCTACAGTGAAGATATGGCTCTGGTGAATACTTTTAGTTTCTTGATTATTTTTCTGTTATTTATTATTATTATTTTTTTTTATTTGTATTATTTGACAGATCTGTGCGCTGTTCATTTTTACAATAATGTATTTCTTTGCACTTTGGTTTGAAAAGAGAGGTTTATATCTATGGAAGTTTGTGAATTGATGTGTGTTTTTATTTAATAATATGGTCGGTTAGATGGAACTCAACATTGTTGTTAATGGTTAATATGCGGATTTAAATAGTTTATGTGTTGGGAAGAACTTTTGGCGTAATATACGAGAAATTATGGAAATTTAAGTATATGAATTTATGATGGATCCTTCAGTTGAAATTTTGGATCTTGTAATCTTCACTGGCTTTCTTAATTTGGCAAAGGCTTTTTTAACTTTATCTTGATGGTATATTTTGTATGTTTGGTTTGAACCAGCACCCAATACCAATAAGAGATTGTAGGATAAATGCTGTTACATTGATATGTATCTTTTGCATATGGAAAAATTATTTCAATAAAAGCGTTAACAATTTGATTTAATACACCACTGCCTTCTATAGTTTAGAAATTATCATTAACAAACTTCAGTTTATAAATGTCAAAACCATTTACTTATTGGCCGTCTGTGCTTATTGTATTTGACTTCGTAGTTATCTGCTGTTATCATTTTTCTTTGACATTTGTAGATCGTAGGGCATAGTGTGTTTTGCATGTATGCAAAATTTTATGTTTACATTATTTTTTACCTGGTTGGGTCTTCTATTCAGGTCCTACATGCGAGTAGTACAAACAAGAATGGCCAGAAGGCACTCATTGCTGCAGAATACAGTGATGTAAAAATTGAACTTGTAAAGAATTTTGAGATGGGTGTATCCAACAAGACTCCCGAGTTTCTCAAAATGAATCCTATTGGAAAGGTATGCAAGCATAACTTGTGTGAAAATAAGTGGTTCTAGTTATGGTGTTCCCATTTATTTCCTGATCTGAGTTTCTTTCCTGTAGGTTCCTGTACTTGAAACTTCTGATGGCCCATTATTTGAAAGCAATGCTATTGCTCGATATGGTGAAAATATTTCTCCGTTCCTTGGTTGACCACTGATATATCTTAAAATTTGTTTTGACATTTTTTTAATCACATTGCACAGTTACTCGGCTGAAGGCTGACAACCCCCTGTATGGCACTTCCTTGATTGACTATGTAAGGCATTGAGACTTTAGTTTCTCTTGTTTTATATTATTCACTTGCGTTGTGAACTCCTTGTAAAAAAATTATACTCATCGATTTATTTTGGCAGGGCCGCATTGAGCAATGGATTGATTTTGCCACTGCCGAGATTGATGTTAATATCGGGCGTTGGTTATACCCACGATTTGGTATTGCCGTATATCTTCCTCCGGTATGTCAAAAATTTTAATGCTCGTTTCGCACATGTAAATGTTTTCTTCATGGACTAACGGAAATTTCCTTGATTAAAACTTGATCCATTTATTTTTTATTTTTTTGTTCAAAGGCTGAAGAAGCTGCAATTGCTGCATTGAAAAGGGCTCTCGGAGCTTTGAACACCCATCTTACCTCTAATACATACTTGGTTGGTCATGGAATCACATTGGCTGACATTATTATGACATGCAACCTGAGTGTTGGATTTAAGGTTATCATGACTAAGAGCTTTACATCAGAATTCCCTCATGTGGAGAGATACTTCTGGACCATGGTTAATCAGCCAAAATTTCACAAAATATTGGGTGATCTGAAACAAGCAGAATCTGTTCCTCCTGTTGCATCCAAGAAGCCTGCAGAGACTAAAGAATCTGCAAAACCCAAGCCAAAGGAAGAACCAAAGAAAGAGGCTAAGAAAGAAGAAGTGAAGCCGAAAGAGGTAGCAGCTGAGGAAGAAGAAGCACCGAAGCCAAAGCCTAAGAATCCTTTGGATCTTTTACCTCCAAGTAAGATGATTCTGGATGAATGGAAGAGGCTGTACTCTAACACAAAAACTAACTTCCGTGAGGTTGCCATAAAAGGTAATTATTTTATAGAATTTCACCCATTATAATTTTATTGAATGTACGTATAATTTTGAGGAATTGATATATATTTGACTTCTTTCACTGAGACTCTGTACTCTCACTCTCTCTACATTATTGTATAGTTTCAGATGATCAACATGAAAACCATTTTCTAAAATGTATCATTGATGAGTCAAAGTATGACCTATTATTGTATGGTGATATTCAAGTGGAAATTTCTCTCCTGACTACGTAAATTAGTCAAATGATTTTTGTTTTTGACACCTTGCCTGAGACATCGCAACAAATACATTCTCACACTATTCAAATTTCTTGTCGATTAGTTGCATCTAATTTTACTCTCACAAACAATAAAATACCAATCATTAATATTTTCCATTTTTTTGGATTTGTAACTTTGTATAATTGCAATGTCACTATCTTATTTACTTATTTAATTTTTTAATAGAAAAGCAATGTTGCAACTGTTAATTTGCCAACAGCTCTTTTCATTTGGATATAGTGGGCTTTGGGTTTTTTTATGTCATCTTCTTTTCTTTTTGTGGAATCTTTGACTATTTGCAGTGTTCTATGTACTGAGACTTTAGTTGTTAATCTATCATTCTAGTTTTTCTCGTAAGTTCCTACTCTTACTTGGCATTCTTATATTATAATACCAGAGATTTGTGAACTTCATAATTCCAGTTATTGGGTGAAGCACAGATAACTAGTTTTATTCTTCCTGGTGAGGCTTATGGTTTTCTGGATTTGCAGGATTCTGGGACATGTTTGATGCCGAGGGATATTCTCTTTGGTTTTGCAACTACAAGTACAATGATGAGAACACAGTTTCTTTTGTGACTTTGAACAAGGTGAGTGGCTTTTTGCAGCGAATGGATCTGGCCCGCAAATATGCCTTTGGGAAGATGTTGATCATTGGTTCCGAGCCCCCATACAAGGTGAAGGGATTATGGCTTTTCCGCGGTAAAGAAATTCCTCAGTTTGTTCTTGACGAGTGTTATGACATGGAGCTCTATGAGTGGACCCAGGTCGACCTCAACGATGAAGCTCAAAAGGAACGTGTCAACCAGATGATTGAAGATGCAGAGCCTTTCGAGGGTGAGGCTCTGCTCGATGCGAAGTGCTTCAAATGAAGATACTTTAACCATATTCCTGCGCGTTCGTGCAGTTTTGAGGTTGTAGCCTACCTTATTTTTGTCATCCGGAATTCTAGGTCTCATCCCTGATACAATGCAGAGTTGGTCAAAATTGTCTTTTTGTTATTGCATTGTGTTTTTTTGCTTATATTTTGATTCCTTGTGATCGTGTTCTGGACCTTGTTATATTTAAATTCAAAAGGAAACATTTGGTTTTAAAGGTTTCCTTGCTAGTTAGTGACGTCATGTTCTAGTTATTTTTAGAGTGAGGGGTAAGATTAGATTTTTTATTAGATTGTGATAGAAGTTTTGAAATGTGTGGTTGAAAAATTGTGGGATTCATAAAAAATGTGGTTAATATTTGATCGTTTGACTTCGACTTGGATTAAAATCAAATTTTAATCCCATCCAAACAAGCTTAGATTGTTCATTGGATGTGCAGGGTGCTCGATTGGTATGATTTTTGTTTTTGCTATTTTTTAATGAAGTTATCTTAATTTTTGTTTGGAAATAATTTTCTAAAAGAACTTTTTATTTTAAACGTGCTTTTCTTAGAAAGTTATATTGGATTAGGTTCTTTTCGAAGGTTTTTTTTTTTTAGTAAGAAGCACTCATAAAATTAATCAAACGAGTTTAAAAGTAGTTCGTGAGTATCAAAAACTCCCTTTGGTTCTAGAGTCGAGCAAAAAGGAGCCGATGTCTTGAAGCTATTTAACGGCCAGTGTGTTATGTTTGCACATTGATCAATGCAAAGTGCTATTCAAGTTTATGGGTTGTGAAGTTTAGATGGCGATCGAGACAGGAGCTTATGTTATATCCGTGGGGATCTGAATTTTGCAATTATGGATAAACCTAAAGGATCGATTCAATAATGTCAATTACTAGATAAATCTCTTCAATTATTTCGTCTTACAAGCATTTTAGTAGCTCGCAATGCTTCGAGTACCTAAACCCGACGGTTCAGAAAAAGGTTCAAAGAGAATATAAATTAAAATTATGTTAATAATTAGAACAAACAAAAGGTTAAGTAATTTAGTTTCATAGCATTCTGGTATAGGTCACAAGAATCTGAAATGACATAAACAAAAAAGGAGTATCGAAACCAGATGTCTCAAGGAAACAACATTTCAACTATCTCAATAGTCTCAAAAACTGGATTAGACCGAATGCTATAGAGAGTTTCACACTAGGGATTTCGATTTCAAAACAAGTGGAAAACTTGTACACCAGAAACTCACTTCGACCAACCAAACCTTCTCGAACCCTTTCTTCAGCATCACTAATTGTATGGAATCTGAATATACGCCGCGTCACACAAAAATGGGACATCAGCATACATTCCAGCCAGGGCACACCTTAGGCACTCCAAAACAGTGAATAAATAGGCAAATGCAGTAGCAACCCAGAAATGCATTCCAACCTTCCCCGAATATAAAGCCAGTGGCATCCAACTATTTACTGTCCCAATGACCTGCATAGTAATCTCCAGTAACATGCCCAAAATCACATGGAATCTAAAGAAATGAGGCCATTCCTTTCTTCTCACTATTGTGATAAAAGCTATAAGGAAGTAAGCCATCGTAAACCATGTTGGCAACCGAAAGAAACTTTGCCAAAATGGGACGGTCAAAAGTTCGAAATACTCCAAGAAAGGATGCAGATTGTATGCTGTTTCTGCATGTATCACTGTCAAGTGTAGAGGCATTAGGTACGGGAGGCAGGATAAAATTCTCCACCACCATTTTGGTTTCTTAGTCATTTCAGGGTATCGGAAGCTATAAGGAACATCGTCCTTAGTTGCTCGTGGAGAGAGGAGAAACCTTGGATGCTTGGATAGTTTGGGAATGGCAAGTGATAAGAGACCTTTTTCCTGATTGAAGGGAGACGTTGATGTAGTAGAAAGACTGTATTGCTTGGTTTCTGCAATAACAATTTGGAAAATGTCATAAGTTTAACATGGTTTAGAAAATGTGCCCCTGTTTGACAACTATTATCTGAAAATTCTTTTTTCCACATACTCATTTTCAATCGTATGTTTATACAATAAAATATTCTATATGTAAATCTAAAACCTTCGCACTTTTTAACCACATGTTCTCTGAAAAATCACCATTCAAAACACTGTTTTTTTTCCCCCCAAATAATGGTTGTCAAACAGGGGCTAAATGAACACTCAAAGTTACAAAAATGAAGAAGGCAAGATCGAAATGAAGGAATAATCTCTGCAGGCATAACCTTGTTTGATAAATCTGACCAAACACAGAGCCATCTCAGTCAGATTTCCATATTTTCTCAGCATTCAGATTGGATTAAAACTAAACTAAATTCAGATATATGCAACATAAAATGATTTGACATCAGGAGTTTTCAAGAATGAACCGCCAAACTCAAGAAGTAGGCGAGGGTTGCGAAGTTTTCTGCATCCTCGAAAGGTTTCTGCTATATGCAGTTTGGAAACTCAATACCATGTTCAATTTATCAACATGATGAGCAACTATGTTCATGGAGATTTACTCATCAGAGAGATGCACACAAAGAACAACAATGAAAAATTAGGCCTTGTTCTCAATTTGGGGTCAGCTATATTGATCCTCTTTTGCCACTTCGTTTGGTTCAAACGATACATCTATTGAAAGATTTTAAGGCAACACGATTTATAGCAACTACGTGTTAGTTTTGGTCTACCATTCTCTCTTCTAAGGTGTTCTATTAGTTTTGGTCTACCCTTCTCTCTTTGAGCGTATACAAAACATATCCCAGACCATTTAAGTTGTCATTTGCACACCTTACTACGAATCCATCTTATGCAAATTTCGTTGCATATCCCTTTTCTCTCCTAATTTTTCATTCGGCAAAAGCCAGCGCGAGTAGGAAAAATGAGCACACCTTTAGAAAAAGCCCGTTTTGTTCCATATGGAAATAACATTAGAAACTAGGAAAAACAAGTACACCTTTAGAAACAGTGGATTTTTCTCCATATGGAAGTAACATTACAGGTGCAGAATCCAATTTCAGTCAACAAAAAGAACGAAACAGGCGATTTTTCTCCATATGGAAGTAACATTACAAGTGCAGAATCCAATTTTAGTTAACAAAAAGAACAAAACTCTTCATAAAACTAAATGAACAATGTAAACATATCCAAGAAGCAATTCTACAAATAAATAAGTTAGATTGGATTGAAGCACACATACCTAATAATGAACAGTCTTTTAAATTCTGAAGAGGTTTCCACGAACTTGAGTACTTATGAATGCCTAAAGCTGAAGACTTGTGGCTATAAGACAGGGGAATTGCACCAGAATATGGCACAGAGCATCCTTTTAGAATCATCATGTGGCACAGACTTTAACTTCTACACCATAACATAAATAAAATTAATTTCGAGTTACTTAAAAAGAATTCCGATGCAGTGACCAAATGCTTTTGACAGAAGGGGTGATGAACTCTCGCAGCGACAAGGCCCACTTTTTTTAGGACTTTTTTATTCACGCGAACACACGACAAGTGAGAGGATGTCAACAATTGGGGACAAAAATTCCAGCAATGCAGCAAAAGTGACTTAAAAATCTAAAACCATATGTAAGTCTCGAAGACTCTCCTATTAGAGGTGGTTGTCCATGTCTAACAGGTATAGTTATGTTGGATACTGACATGTTTTACGTCTATTATATTAATTTTTCTTCACTCAAAATTATTATTTTAGATAAAAAAAAAAAATAGCTACTAATTCAAGTAAAAATATTTCAACAATGAAAATCAAAACTAAAAAGAATCAGTTTTACTTAAAAACAAGAAGTAACGTACATTCTATCTGTGTATTCGTGTGGCGTTCAGGCTGTGCTTCATAGAGAGAAAATCTCGCAAAGGGAAGTTTTTTTAAAAAAAAAAAAAGAAGAAAAAGCGAAACGAGAGAGAGAGAGAGAGAGAGAGAGAGAGATAAAACCTAAATAAAAAAAGAAAAAGAAAAAGTACCTTTAAAAAAATAACCTCTTTTGCTTGATGAACAAGTGAGTTTTTAAACAGAACCGTGAATGGTAGTGAAAAAAATTAGAAGATTAGAACTAGGAATGTCAAATGGGTCGAGCCGGCTCGCGACTCGTCGGCTCGACTCGTCAAAGCTCGATTCGTGGACTGCACGAGCTCACGAGCCGGCTCGTCCAAAAAAATGGAAAAAATTGAAATTTTATAAATAAAAATTGAAAAATTTGCAAAAAAAAAAAAAAAAAATTCACGAGCTCGCGAGCCGTTCATGGGCTCGCCCCCCCCCCCCCCCCCCGAGCTCGTGGCTTGTGAGTACACGAGCTCGTGGGCCGAGCTGAGCTCGCCCACAAGCAACGAGCCGAGCTGTGAAAAACGAGCCACGAGCTCGAGCCGGCTCGGCTCGGCCCACTGCCACCCCTATTAGAACTTAATTTGCTTTTATTTTTAAAATTCTGAGTTCCAAACACAAGACAGGAAGCTTGGGTCGAAATTACCGAGGTGGCCCATTCTTCATTGGGCTTTTCAGAATAAACTGAAAAGTGAAAAAAAAAAAAAAAAAAAAAAAAAATTATAATTGTGGAATAATTTGTTTATGCCCTATCATTAAAAAAGAATTCAACTTTACTAGGAAATGTAACTATGAGTGTTAACTTATATATAAATTATTTTAAAAAAAATAAAAAAACTAACTTCTAAATCTATATATCCCAAACCACAATTGTTACTGATATATATTTAAATCAGCAGACTTCACGCTGGAAATTAATGGAACTTCCATTTTCAATCATGAAAACAAAAGAAAATTGGCGGAGACACACCCATCCATTCCAGAGAACATACTGGGAATCCTTATCCTTTGAATATGTCTATCGATCGGAAATGTGAACGGATTGTAATGCATATTTCATATAAGGTAATTTGGGTTTTTCTCAAGATTAAATTTGCGATTTAATTTGTAATATTGTGAGAGCTGGTGTATGATATATAATTAGATAAAAATCGAATACATTGGTTAGATTTTCAAAAAGAAATAGATCCTATTTACTCGTGTGTAATATTTTCTTTTGTTATTTGAAAAATTTAACTGATTATATGATTTTATACTAATAAAAGACATCTGATATTGTCATTTGTATATTGCCATCTTCGAAATAAAATTCGGCAACGAATAGTCGATACATATCTTCATTGATATGTACGATGTGATTGTTTTTCAAATAATGTTGGGGGAATTCATTTCGACGAATAGTGCCTTTTCTTTTTCTTTTTTTTTTTTTACTCCCTAAGACATGGTGACTTTATAAAATTGGTGATTTCTCATCTGATTATGTATTATGTAATATGTTCAAAATTTAAAATATACCATCCAATAGATTCAATTAAAAGATGTTATTGTAATCCATTATTTCACATTCTACTATATTATTTTTTCTACAGTACTTATTTTTAACTACACATTCTTCATTAAAGAAATATTTCACGCAAATTAAAAATGTTTCCTTCCTTTTTAACCACACATTCTCCATCAATCTGCTATTACATAAGACATTTTTCAAAACTAAAGGGGCTCAAACACACCTTGTATATATACATTAATACCTTTATATATCATCCTTCGCAAAGTTTATATGTACTTGTCCTGATTGTCTTTATTTGTCATATAGGGTGGACGCGATAAACGTGTTTGTAATTAACGAAACAAATATATTTGGTATTCTCGTGCCTTTTGGATGCAAGTACTTTAAGATTGTCGACTTGATAATGAACAAATTGATGTTTGATAACGAACATATCAGTCACAAGACAGTAATATCAATCAGTACTGAGAAATGCATTTATCATTCTTATATACAATGAGATATCACAGGAATATTACACAGAAGACAGATTGCAAGGTTAGAAAAATCCAAAATCAATGAACACTGCTCCTGCATACCATGGAATGAAGCCTATGTAACTCAAATATGCATAAAAACTGTTGGAGGAATTTTGTGAATAGTGACGCCAAAACAAGTATAATGATGATTTGTAAATCCGTGTCGAAAATTGGACAGAGTAATGGCAAAGAAACCACAAGCAAGAAGAAGAAGAAAGTAGGGACAAAGTCGAGGCAAGAGTTGGACTCTTTGTCCTTAAGTCGAATTTGCCCCGCAATGGTGCCTACGGATTTCGGTAATCGACTCCCAAGATACAACGTCTACAATTGTGTTTGTAACACTCCAAAACACAAGTACAACGAACCAAATTTAGGCTTATATACTCCAAGGATGAAAGGAAGGAAAATCAAAATAAATGAAATGATTTTGATTTTGGATAGAAGAGAGGATGGGAGATGTTTTGCATATCAAATTATGAGGAATAGGACACCCAAAGGGTCCTATTTATAGACCATGAAAGGGCGTGGACGAAATGGTTGAGGCCAATCCATGCACCCTTTCCAAACAATGCACCTTTATGAAAAGGTGTCTATTCACCAAGGTCGCACGGTTTTACGACCTGATTTTCGTCCTTTTTCGTAATTTCTCATTCATCCGATATTGGTTTTCGAAATGCCAAATATACCCTTCAATACATGCAGAGAAATCAAAATTCTCTTTCGCGCCCCCTCGACCCGTTTGTGCACCCCGAAGCGGCGAAGTAGCAAATAATTTAGCCTAAACGGATTGAGTCGAGCTTTTGAGTTTTGGCCAAAGTCGATACGAAGTCACTTTTATTTCTCGATTTATTTAACCAATATCCAACAATCCCCCAATATTTAATTGTACATAGGAAANAAGTCGATACGAAGTCACTTTTATTTCTCGATTTATTTAACCAATATCCAACAATCCCCCAATATTTAATTGTACATAGGAAAAATAATCACAAAATACAGAGTTACCTTTTTCACATGCATGGTTACAATAACTTATCAAAATTGAAGTAGAATTAGTTTATCAAACAATCAATTACCCTTCAGCAAAAGAAGGGTCAATCAATTAATTTTCAGATTTCGAAAAATGTTAATGGGACCAATTACCTGTGTTGACCTCAATTTCCGTAAAGGTAACGTGGCCAACAGGTAAATGCTCCAAGAAGATATCTTCACGCACATGGTAGCAAATCGTTAGTTACTCGTGGCCTTTTTAGATAGTGGTGAAAATAGTCGCTAGAACTTTGACGATCAAATCAGTGAACGATGAAGAAATAACACACTCGAACCGCATAGAGTAAAGGGTATATTTAAGTGTATAGAATGGCATTACATTTGAAATGACACTAAGCATGGGTATTTATAGGGAAAAGGTAGATTTGAGACCATTGGATGGAGTCACATGGTCGCACATGTTGGCCAATGCGTCGGAATATATGTGGGCAGACATTTAATGCCCTAAGTGAATTTTGTGACTTGACCTTTCGATGTCTGTTGTACAAACGTTACATCAACCAATTGTTTATATCTTATTCTAACTAGATCTCTGTACAAAGAATAATGCCATGTAATCCACTAGAATTATAATCCCAATCTATGTGGCACTAGATTAGTTAAATGAAAGGTGAATTTAAATGACTTATTTAATTCTACCTATCAATTAACGCTACATTAGCGTTACCTAAACTAGAGTTGCAATCCCAGTGGAACTAAATAACATTACTCTTGTACAAAAGATCCCCCAGTTTATAGAGACGTGCCCACATGATAGTATCTCAACAGTATCGTTCTACCTCTTACCACTTTGATTCATATCCCTTCGAGGCATATCACTTTGAAGCCTTGATCAAATTGCCTTACGAGTACTACCTACTTATCAACGTTCATTTTTCAAAAATTAAAACTTCAACAAAATATAGCTGGTGTTTGGTCTGGCTAGAAATTTGAATTTGAGCAGATTTTGCTAATTCTTGAACGGTGCAATCTATTTAAAAATTGAAAAAAAATAAAATTAGCACCTTCAATAAAATACTACAGAAATCGACCGATTTCCAATTTTACCCTTCAATTAGCAAACACAATTACAACTATAACCCTCATTTCATTTTATGCAAACCCATCCATTTTACTGCAACCCAAGCCCCCAACAAACATGCCCTTCTCGACAAACTGCAGAGAGGAACGCCGAAACTCGCAATCTCTATTGGGAACCAAATCTCCATCAGCCTTCTGCTAGCAAAAAAAAAAAAAAAGGCTCTCCAACGACCAAATATATTGGTCGGTAAGAACTAATATTAGCTCGTTGAAGACCTTTAGCGACTAATAAAAATGTGGTTGCAAGATGGTCGCTAATTCATCGTCGGTGAAACTCTTTAATGACCAATTAATATTTGTAGGTAAATATATAAAATTCAACGACCACTATTTGTTAGGTAAAAGTATTGTTTTTGGTAGCTGAAAATCATAACAATTTTTTGTAGCTGTGTTACTCTGTTAGTGATCAGATGTTGAATGATAGAAATTGAAGATTTTTTCCCCATAAGGACCAAAATCTCATCGAAAATCATCAAAAGGGACCAAAATGAAAAATTCTTACTGTTGAAGTGTGATTGCAGTCTGCCTTGCGTGCTGTTATTCTCCATTTGCTGCAATCAGCTTGTAGTTCACTTACTATGGTTCGATCTGTTTATGCACAAACAGTGGTGTCCACCAATTAAAGCCCGGTAAGAAGA